TTCTCTAGTCAAAAATTTTTATTGCAAACAGGAAGAGCAATCTAGTAAAAATCCTTTCTTTTCATGTAGTATAGTGTACACATTAATACTTCCTTAGAGCAGTATAACCAGAGAGACTCAATTCCTAATTACACACTGAATAGAAATACTTTTGGGGTGATGAGACTGATCACTTATCCAAAAGAAAAGCATAAATAAGAAAATGAGTCATGTCATTAATTAACTTCCCTTCCTTCCCCTCAAGCTACTCACTCTCTTCCAATGCATAATTCTACAGGCTTAGAAATCTATGCAGAGGGGCCTGCTTTACTCAGCGCATATATACTTAATTGTATCTTAAATATATTACTAAATTGAATTAAAATAAATCAGACATCTTATGCTAAATTTTGGTTCTTTCTTAAGGGCTTAACGATAGCAATGTGTACAAGCAAATCAAAATACTTAAGACTATGACATATCTTAAATACATGTCATGTCACATCATAGTAACACCATGTCTTCATATTTATAGAGACTCTCATGCAAGAAATGGTATTGTTCAAGTGTTTCCTTTAGCATCCATCCTTTTGAAAGGCATTCCCTTTAATATGAGGACCCACTGTGTGGTGTTGATACACCGGTAAGGAGGAGATGGGACTCTCCAATGCTCTTTCCCTACCTCATCCACAAACATTCCATTCTTCTCCGCTAATAAAATTTTTAAAAACTCACCATTGAACATGAAAAGCAATAAGTGGAAGCTAAAAGCTAAACAAGGAAAGTGTGGTGTGCATACTAAAGATCTTCAAATCCATGATCTAATTCAAAGCTTATTTTTTTAATTTACCTGTTCATCAGAGGTACCATCCTTCTCATCCTCTGAACCTGTAGTTTGTGAATGTGGTTTCTAGCTATATATTCTTTTTTTTAAATTAAAAGTATTTATTCTTAGCATAGGGATCATAATTTTAAGATTGCATATATTTGTTTTACAAAGAATATTTATATCCAAGACTGCGAAAGTGGAATCAGAAGTGGGGAAAGGATCAAAAGAAAAAAAAAGGCGATAAAGAGAATTCAGAAACAATTTAGTTCCATTTAAGTTGCTGTGGGTTTTAAAATAAGACAGTGAGAAGTCCACAAAAACTTTCTGGGAGGAGAACAAAACTTCCATATTCTTGTGAAGATTAAGATGCTCAAAGGAGTCTGAAGAACATCTGGATCAATAATCAAGTGTGCCTGCTTTCCTGGATTTACATTGTATTTCAGTGTAGAAACACAACCAGTGTTGGCGATAAAGTCACATTAGATACTCCATGATAACTCTGGTGGGAGGAAAGTCTCTGTTTTGTAAAATACAAATGGAGTCAGAAGACTCAGGAAAAATTTTGGTCAATAAGTGGTGAAGACTCTAGAAAAAATCATTCAGCCCCTTCCACTGCTGTAGTGGAAATAGGTTTCACGTAGTATGGACCTTCACTCAGGTTAAGTTCTGAGCCTCAAACAATTTGGGTTCCCAAAGATTTCTGCAGTTGTCTTAGAATTGGCAAGTGCTTTCACCAGTTCATATCTGGCATCCTTTGAAGCTTTGTCATGCTCTACGGACCTGTCCATCACATATTCTATGAAACCTGGGCTGTTAAGCATAAGTTTCTGAGCCCAGGGTTGGTTTGCAATGGCCGTGAACACTTTCAGGGCAGCACAGCGTAGTTCAGGGAAGGGTTGATTGCTGATGCCACGGAAGAGCTCCAGTGGGTCCCGAGATAAAGAAGAAAACCAGGATTCTGCCATCCTAAGGTCATCAGTCTGCTGCTCAGGCGGTAAATAAAAAAGAGATGAAACTGCATCCAAACACCTAATTTTGAGCTCTACTGAGGCTTCTTTGCTTGATATCCCATTCTCATGAGCAAGCGTTCAAAGCGAGTTCCTGTTTTCTGTAAAACCTGTTTTCCTTCAACATTGGATCCCAGAATTCCAATCATGTCCACTGCTACACCACTCATGGTGGGGTCCTGACTTTATTTCAAAGACTTTTTCCACAAAAAAGGATAACGCTCACAGACCTGTTGAGGGCTATCCATGATAGCTAGGTTTCCAAAAAACTTCACAAATCCTGGCAAATAGAAGCTAGCGAAAGGGTCTGAATCGGCCCCCACAATTATGTTAGAAATCTGATCAATTACTCCTTCCCGAGCAAGGTACTGTCGTCCATAATGAGTACATGCCAGTGATGTCACCATCTCTATACAGGTGGCTCTGACCAGCACATCCTCATCAGTCAGTTCCTTAAGGAGCTGGGTTACCAATCCACTGGTGGTACAGTAGTTTTAAAGATTCTGGGGACACAAAAGAAATCTCCACAATTAGCTCATACACCCTGTATCGAACAATGTCATTTGTTTTCATTACACTTTTCAAATCATCCAGCAGATTACTTTCAAAGCAAGCCTCCAGGCCAGCTTGGGTCAGTGACATTCTTGACAGGGATTTAATGGCTGCTTTAGCTACAGATAGATTCTTGCCACCAATACAACAAACGATTTGTTTTAGCAATTCAGCATTATTTACAATGTCAGTAACAGCATCAGAATTTTCAACAATTCTTCCAACCTGGGACAGAGTAAGGAGTTTCACAGAATCATTGGGATGAGTCAGTCCCCTCTGCAGGTCACTCCTGAAGTTCCGGGCCACGTGAACTGGGTCCAAAGCTTGGAGCAACCTCTCCAGGATGGATACGCACAAAGTAGTCTGTTACCAGGGGTTCTCGTTGAGCAGGGAGAAAAGCGGGCCGAGGCGCAGCTCCGCCGCTTGCTCGCCGAGATCGCTGAGCGGCACCGACTGCAGCACTGGCTGCAGAGGGCGGAGAAAAGCGGGCCGAGGCGCAGCCCCGCCGCTTGCTCCCCGAGGCACCGACTGCAGCACTGGCTGCAGAGGGCGGAGAAAAGCGGGCCGAGGCGCAGCCCCGCCGCTTGCTCCCCGAGCGGCACCGACTGCAGCACTGGCTGCAGAAGGCGGAGAAAAGCGGGCCGAGGCGCAGCCCCGCCGCTTGCTCCCCGAGGCACCGACTGAAGCACTGGCTGCAGAAGGCGGAGAAAAGCGGGCCGAGGCGCAGCCCCGCCGCTTGCTCTCCGAGCGGCACCGACTGCAGCACTGGCTGCAGAGCGCGGAGCTCCTCCAGCGGCGCTTCCAGCCGGGAGACCTCCCTCAGCAGCGCCAGCGCCTGCGCTGCCATCGTGTCCCCTCCCGCCCGGGCTCACCTGTCTGCCCGCCCTGCTCGCGGCTCCCGGCGCGCTTCTCTGAGCATCGCGAGTAGCTATATATTCTTTATGTAAAAATCCTATAGAGTAAATCCTTCAGAATTCAGCATCCTAAGACTGAATTGAATTTTGGGATAATAAAGAGAATAATAGATAACAAAGAAGAACTAAGAGAGGAAACAGGGAAAGAATAGTCATACAATGACAAGTGGGGAATGGGGAAGGAGGTTGAAATTTTCTTATTAAGAATCTTATACAAAAAAATCCCCTAACTACAAGAATAGTGCATATAAAACACCATATAAAAAATAAACTCAAAATGGATTAAGACCTAAATGTGAGACCAGATACCATAAACTCCTATAAGAGAACATAGGCAGAACACTCTCTGACATAAATCACAGCAAGATTTTTTTGATCCATCTCCTAACATGAAGGAAATAAAAGCAAAAATGAACAAATGGGACCAATTAAATTTAAAAGCTTTTGTGCAGTAAAGGAAAACATTGAGAAAACAAAAAATCAACCTACAGAATGGGAGAAGTTATCTGCAAATGATATGACTGACAAGGGGTTAATATCCAAAATATGTAAACAGCTCATACAACACAGTATCAATAAACAAAAACAAAACCAAACAGTCCAATCCAAAAATGGGCAGAAGACCTGAACAGACATATTTCCAAAGAAGACATACAGATGGCTAACTAATAGGTAGATGTAAAGATGTTCAGCGTTACTAATTATTAGAGAAATGCAAATGAAAACAATAATGAGAAATTACCTAATAGTTGTCAGAATGGCTATGATCAAAAAGTCAACATTGTGAAATGACTATAACTCAATAAAAATATTTTTTAAAAAGTCTATGAATAACAAATGTTCTTGAGGTGTGGAGGAAAGGGAATCCTTGCACACTGCTGGTGGGAATGTAAATTAGTGCAGCCACTGTGGAAAACAGTTTAGCGGTTCCTCAAAAAACTAATATGATCCAGCAGATATCCAAAGAAAACAAAAACACTAATTTTAAAAGATACATGCACCCCAATGTTCATAGCAGCATTACTTATGGTAGAAAGGTATTAAAGCAATCGAAGTGTCTATCAACAGATAAAATGAATAGAGTATGTGGGGTGTGTGTGTGTGTGTGTGTGTGTATAATGAGATATTACTCAGCCATAAAATAAGAATGAAAATTTTGCTATTTGCGACAACATGGATAGACCTGGGGGATATTATGCCTATGAAATAAGTTAGAGAGAGAAAGACAAAACTGTGTATCACTTATATGTGGAAATTTAGAAAATAAAACAAACATATGGGTCTAACAAAATAGAAACACAGATACAGAGACAAACTAATGTTGCTAATGAGGAGATGGGCAGGGAGAAGGGCAAGACAGGTGAAGGCGATCAAGAGGTACAAATACCGGGCATAAAATTAGTAAGACACATGGGTGCAGCGTACAGCACAGGGGGTACGGCCAGTATTTCATAGTAACGCAAATGGGATATAATCTGCAAAAACATCAAATCATTATGTTTTATACCTGAAACTAATATAATGTTGTAAGTCAACTATAGCTCAATTTACAACAAACAAAACCCTCAAAAAGAGTAAAAAAATCTACTGTCCCTATTTTCTACATTTTTGGGGACAAAACAGGACTTTAGTATCTCTAGTAATCAGCTGTCTTATGATGGAAGAGATAATATTTACATGAATCTAAAGTATCAAAGTTTGTTTTTAATTAAGAATGTCTAGGAGAGTAACTTACAGTTATCCCCAGCATTGGTAGGGTCGCGTTGATAACGTCATTTGTAGTATCTGTATTTGTTACTGTTATAGTTTTAGACTGTAGAAAAAAAAAGAAATAAAAGAACACAGCTATAAACAGAGAATTTTAAAACAGGTGAAAAAATAATTATCGTCAAATGGTTATCTACAGGCAAATCTTAATTTAAAGTGTTTAAAGAGTAAAGAACATGGCCTAAGTAGAACACGAACCCTTGATTATAATTTATTTTCATTCTATTATATATGATGCCTTTTAATACAGCATCTCTTTCTCTTAAAATAAAGAATATGTGGCTCACAGAATATAAGACCTTAAGCCAGACAGAAAAAGGATAAAATATTTCAGAGAGATTACATGAATCACCCTCCCAACCAAAAGAAAAAAAATCAGTGAGGCTGATCATCCAGCCCATGAGTATTTCCATAATGCAGCATGTTAGTAAAGCGGGGACTGAGCTGGATTAATTCCTATTTCTTTCTGTGTACTGTTTTCAGTGTGGGTTTTTATTTCTTTGCATGGTAAAAAGTCAGTTTACGTAAAATCAGAATTAGAACTGGTTACAAAAGACATTTCACATTTAGACTTAAAAAGCCCCACTGTTTATTGAGCACTTTCTCTATGTCAGGCACTGCGGCTACCAGGATCTTCATTTCTGAAATCTGGAGCGGCCTTAAAGCCAATGAGTCTAGCGAAGAGACTGAACATTTCAGAAAGCTCAGTCCTGTTACCAGCTTTGCCACTGAACAGGGTATCTGTAACAACTCTGTGCTAAACCACAGTGAGAAATGACTATTTAAAAATCCAGTTCACAACAAAGAGAATAAGATTCTGAAATATCTATAGAGTTCACTGAATTCCAAGGCATTATTTAAATAGAAGACAATGCTATGCTATAAAAAGTAAGTATTTACTATAGGTAGGTTCTACATGTTACAATGATCAGATAAATCAGCAATTAGGGCTGTGTCCCCGACGGGGCTTAAATGGCACAGATAAGGCAGCATAAATGGAAACAAAATGATGTATAAATAGGAAGCTAAGTGAAAGCCACTAATAACTCATCACTCATCCCTCTGTTATAGAGCATTTCTTCTCTATGAGCCAATTACTTGACATGACAAATTGCTTGAATTTGTTAACTGATTACAAATTGTGTTCCTTGCAGCTCCATGGTTGATGCAGAAGTGTCTCAGAACCCAGCAGGGAGGGCTCAGTGTTCATCTTGTACCAGAATGTCAGAGATGTTTTTGCAAACTTGAGCTAGACTCTCATGAAAGGCTTCTGCTTTTTTACTTTAAAGTCTGAACAACCTCTCCATTTCATATAAAGAAACATTCAATATCAAATCTTTTGTAAAGTGAAGTATCTATCCCGTAATACTAATAATCACCCGCAATCTATCTGGTTTCTAAGATGATGATTTTTCTTAATATTAGAGACATCTGCTCAAAACAGTAATTATAGGATGTGTATTTTTCCCTGCATGCCTCTCTGGTAGACAAAACAAATGAATTTTAGCAGACAAGTTTTCTTTGGCTAGTACACAAAATAAAGAGACAAAACTGAAAAAGTGGCTGTTTTTCCCATATTAGCAGAGGTCACTAGCAGGTGGCACATAACTGAAGGCCAAGGATAAAGAACACTCTCGTACATGTACTCCTGTTTGGGGGAATCACTCTTTCTGGCAGCAGGGCTCCCCGAAAGGAGACTATTGCCATGAAACAACTTCAGAGAGCAAAGGACAGTGTGTCGCATCATTGTGGACTTCACCAGGGTCTAGTGATAGAACAGAGCACCCAACCCGACCACAAACAATATGATATAAAAATAAAGCTAAGTGAAGTCCACTGGTAACTCAACCACTCAAGTTTTTATGGTGTGAGGCTGCAGAGACCTTCTGTAGCAAAGTAAGGGGGAGAAAAAACACCACTGTTTTCCTGCTGGCCTTCGTTCAGTGGTTATGGCAGCTGGTTACATTCAGGATTTTCATGGAAAAATACCTTGAAAAAAATTTTTAAACACTTGCAGTGTATGGAAAGTGTGTCCTTGAGAAATAACTGGTTTTAGAAGAGAAGATGAAAGAAGAGAAAAATTTGAGTATTTCCCTCAAGCAGTGACATCTGGCACTCGTATCAGACCTTTGCATAACTTTTGCCCAAAATATATCTGTTTTGTACTACATATTTGTCCACACACAAAACTACCCTGTGTGATCTGGAGCTCCTGGGACGTGTGACAATCCACAGTATTACAGAAATATTCATGTTTCCATTTTGCTCACATCATGGCACGTTGATATAACATCATGGCACTTTGCTGTATTTCAGTCATCACATTCCACATAATGACTAGGGCTAAATAGACTTTTTTCTTAACCGATATGATAATAACTGTGAGGAAGAAACATGCTGATCCATAAAAATACCATCTCTCCAAGCTCATCCATTTATTAATAACCTGAGGGATTCAATCCCTAAAAACTCAAAGAATGGAGAACTTTCCAAAACCACTCTCTCCTTATCTCTGACAAGTTGGAAAAAAGTTGCTTAATACTAATAGGAAATATCTCCTTATGGAAATGGCTTTACTACAAGCCTCTGCAGCGGCTTTTGGAAGGACCCAGAGAAGCACGGATGCCAGAGGAAGGCAAGAGACACCTGACAGGCAATATCCTTTCCCAGTGTCAATGTTCAACACTGTAGTTAACAAGGATTTCTCTTGTTTCATTTTCTCTAGGGTTGCTTTTCACTTATACAAAGATATACATACACCCAGGAAAATGCACTTCCCCACATTATATTTCTAAACGCCTACCTTCTGTAGAATGTACACAGTCTGTCTGTCTTTCTGTCTACCTGCCTGTCTCTCTTTTCATCCATGGTATTCTGCCTTATGTAGGGACCTGGAACTTAATTTTTTCTGGCTTAGAAACACTTACATAGGCACAATTCCCAATGTCCTTGGTGATGATTTTGAGCGGAATGCTCTTCGGGTAGTCCTTTTCTTTCTCTAGATCGATGTATCTAATCAAATGCAACAACAACCCAAAACAAGACTGAGTCAGATGGATTTTGCTAACAGCTTATTTTTAAATCAATCTATTTTTGCTAATATTTTTCAATATACTTATATGCTATTTTTTAAAAGACAGGTGGAAAGACTCAGCAAAGTCAGATTACATTATGGGTTGGAAGACCACTTTAAAAATTCTCGGGACATTAGGCATGGGCACAAAAAAGAACAGAGAAGATCCATTCCAAGCAAGGCTTGAGAAGCAGAGTCAGGTTAAGGCAGCTCTGGGTGATGTTTTATCATCAAAGCTTCCCTGCCTTCCCTGGACAGGCCCAGAACCTGGCTCATTGGCACAGGAGCATTTATAACACTTTATTAGACCAAACCAAAGCAGTGGCCTTTCCCTTCTCACTGAGCTCTCCAAGGGAGTGTGCATCTTGGTTATCCCCAGTGTTTGGAAAGGGGGAGCAGGGAGGAAGGGGGAAGGTCCACGGGAATCAGAGATGGATCTAAATTGACCATTTCAGTCTGTATGCTCAGAGGTAGGGGTAATAATTGAATTCTGAGGTGCTCAGCAGAAAACCCTCCATGTGTGGAAACTTAATACATGCGTTGAGGAAACTTTTAGCTGCAAGTGACAGGTTGGAGACAAAGAAAGAGATGGGAGAGATTATTAACTAAATTCTGTCTAATATGATCCAGACCTCAATGTTCTCCTTCCTAGAAAGTAAGAAATACATGTAATGAGAGAACATTAATTGCAGCACATAGCTTGGCATACAGTCTAAACCTCAGATTATTCTGAGGACAAATGAACAATTTCCACTAAGAGGAAGGGGAATAGTTTGGGGCACATTCCTGCAGAGAAGAATTTAATCATTTAACTACACCTGAAAGATTAAAAATATGTATACTGAAAAAATACCTCTGAAAGAGATAGAACCATCTGCCCGTTTGTTCTGGAGAACTGCAATGAAAGAAAATGGGAGAGGACAATTAAACCGCGTAGAATACTTATCCTAACAAATTAAGAGCATCAATCCAGACAAAATATCAACAGCCCATTGTTGCTGACAGGGGTGCACGGTAGTGCTGCAACCCTGGGCAAACCTGTGCTCTGGAGAACCCAGAAATGAAAATCCCTGTTAGGAAAAACTACACAGTCAGGTTTTAGTTTCTTGGAAGGAGCCAAGAAAGATCCACTTTCTTACTTTATGGCTCTCTTACAAGTAATATCCTTATAGTGGAGAAAGTACTTGATTTGGAATTCCAACACCTGGCTTCAAAAATACATGCAAGACATATTATCATGGGCGAATCACTTAATATCTCTAAGCTTTGGTTTCCACATCTGTAAAACTGGGCTAATTATCTCAAGAGTGTTTTTGTAGCTTTAAGTGCCATGCAAACAGAAAATATGCTTAATTTGAGATTAAAGAGATTAAGGAGAAATTTGGCATACTGATAGCGATATTTTGGCTCAGAAACCAGTTTGTTGTCAGGAAAGGAAACATTTATTTCTCTATACATATGGCAGAACTATAATTCAGTTATTTAGTTCATAGAAAATTTATTCTTAATTACTGTAATCCTCTGATTAAGATCAACTTATTTACAACTAAATTACTATTGATTAATAATTTTTCTGGAGTCACTGCTGCATTTAATTCTTAAAGTTAAAAATAATTTAAAGTTTATTTCTACATAGTCTTGTTACTCAGTAGCTTTTAAAATCATATTTCTAATCTTCAAGAAGTTGGAAACCTCAGTTACTTTCTTGCTCCAGAAAAATACACTTAACAGATATTTGTAACTGGTTTCTAACTCTGTTGTTTAACAATTTTCTCCATGAGCAATCTCCCAGGATTGGTCATCAGAAAGTTCATTACATCTCGTTGCCACTGACCAATTTTCATCTTTCATAGTCCCTTACAATCTTTGATGCCTTCTCCTTCCCTGAACAGAAGATTTTCTAGGTTCATTTATGTCAAATACTGCATTTATTTGGCAAAAAAATCTATGTTGAAAAAATTAGGTAAGTTTTTCTTTAGACTTGTACCTTTTTCAAAGCAATTAAATAAAACTGTCCCTTTAAACAATCAGTATTATAAACTTTTAACTTGTTATTGATATATAAGATACACAGAGAGAACTTGTACAATGCTTAATTGTACAGCTTGAAGAATTTTCACAAATTGAACACACCCCGTTTGACAGGCTCCCAGATTAAGAAACAAAAAACCACCTTGGAAGATTTCCTTGTGTTCCTTTTCAGGCACTAGTTGCTACTATCCTGACTTCTAATAAAACACAATAGTTTTGTTTATTTGGGCACTTTATATACATATAACCATATAGCATGCAATATTTTATTCTTTTATTTAACATTGTGTTTGTGAGACTTATCCATTTTATTGCACGTGGTTTTAGCTCATCCATCCTCAGTGCTGCTTCGTGTCCCACTGTTTGAATATATAGCATACTTTACTTTAAAATAAACAAATTATGAACAAACAAATTAATTCACTGAGATTACTTTGGTAATCTTCTTGCATTTTCCCCTAGCTCTTGCTCTAAGCAAGAATTCAGGGTTTTCCTTCCCTAGTAATTCCTAATCTCAGGCATTTTTGTAGAACTAAAAACAGAAGTACTCCCAAATCAAGGTTATTTCAGTGTTTCATAAACACCTAAGATAAGAGCCAGGAGAGAAGCAAGCAGTGTACCTTAGAGAAAGAAAAAGGGGAAGACAGTTTGGGAAGATCCCCTCAAATTTGGGAGGTGATTAAGAGTTAGCTGGAAACCACATGTCATTCAGTTGAGGTACCTAAGGAAACAGAAGACCCTGGAGGAAATGGTTATAAGGAGCAGGTGCAGAGGCTTCTTCCTAAGCACCAAGGCATTAAAAAAAATCTTTGTTTTCTCTATTCCTCAGATTGGACAATTTCTATCAATGTACCTTCAAATTCACTGACTCATTTCTCTTTCATTTCCATTTTGCAACTAAGGCCACAGGGGGGATTTTTTTTAAAAAATTTAAGATATTACAGCTTTAGATCTAGATTATTCATTTGGATTTTACAAATATTTCCTATTTCTCTGCTTTGATTTCCCATCTTTTCATTCATTTTAATTGGCTTCTCCCTTTACCCACTGAGCATAGTCATAAGAGCTGCTTGAAAGTTCTTTTATGGTAATTCCAACATATGAGTTATCTGAGGACTGGCTTTTATTTATTATCTTTTCCTTTCTAGGTTTTTCCTATGTTAAGAAATTTTAGATTGCATTCTGGACATTAGGAATGCTTTGTTTTGGAGACTCTGAGCTATGTTATATTTGCTAAATACTGTTGATGCTTTTGTTTTAACAGACAACTAACTTTATTAGACTCAAGCTGAAAACTTTATCTCACCTGTGTTGAGCAGCACCTCGGTTCGATTTTTTTAGCCTTAGCTCCAGACTGCTTTAAGTCTGTTCCATGCATGTGCGGTTCAGCCTTCAGCCAGAGGCTGGGGCACAGTCTAAACAAAAATTCTGGAGCTTCTCGTCTCTGATACTCTCCTTTCTGAGATTTCCTCCCTCATGTTCCTATGGTAGTGGCTGACCCAGACTCTGTACTTCGGTTCTGGAGCCCAGAAAGACTGTGGCTTTTTGTCAGTTTGGTTTTCCTGCACCACCGTATGCCTGCAGCCTGCCCTCAGGCTAATGCCTTAAAAACAGGAAACTCACCCAGAGTTGCTACCTCATTCCAAGGTTCATTTCTTCTCCAAAATATGCCAATTTTTGCTCACTTTTCAGGACCCTCAGGTGGTTTGTTGTTGTTTGTATTTTGCTTAGAGTTTACAATTGTTATCTGTAGAGTGGTCAGCCTGTTGAGACCTCACTCTGCCAAACCAGAGTCTGAACTCTTCAACACTACTTTTTTTTTAAACAAAAGTAATCTTTTAATTTGGAAATAATTTAAAAATTTCAGAAACAATGCAAACATAGTACAGAAAGTCTCTGTATATCTCACGCCTAGCTTTCGTTTCCTCTACAGGAATCCTGACTGTTCAGATTTCACCAGTTTTCCCATTAATGTCCTTTTTCTGTCCTAGGATCCATCCAAAGGATACCACATTGCATTCAGTTACCATGTCTCCTTAGTGACTGTTTCTATGTCTTTTCCTGTTTTTGTTGTTGTTGACCTTGACAGTTTTGAGGCTTACTGGTTAGGTAACCCTACAGAACATCCCTCAATTTAAGCTTCTCTGATTCAGTTCTCATGATGAGACTGAGGTTTTGGGGAGAGATGCTACAGGAGTGAATTGCTCTTCAAGGGGCAGATATTCACACAACATCACTAGTAATGTTAACTTAAACATTTGGTTAAACTGCTGTACTTTTCCAGGAATTATAATGTATTGTATAACTTGCTTCTACATTTTCCATTCTTCTTAAGAAAAGTTTCATGAAAAAACTCCTTGATTAAAGATGCCATGTAGTCCCAGCCCTCACTTGAAATCACTTCCTTTCAGCTGTAAACTCCAAGAAGATTAAACAATAGGAAATGATAATATCTAGAGAAATCTGTCATGGAAAAGAAGATATGCTGAGAATGATACAAACACATGCTTTCTTCCAAATGAGTTCTTAAAATCTTTTGGTGGGCCAGTTGTGCATAACAGAACTTAATGGCATGCTCTTCCTTTATCAAACAATTAATAGCTTAAAAATTTTTAGTTCTCTAGCTTTAAGATGATGCCTGAGGAGTTTGATGGTAGTGAGGAGAGAAGCAGCAGAAAGAAAAACATTGTGTGCATGTGATGAAAACCAGCTCTTTCAAGCTTTTTCAACATTACACTGCACTTGAGGATGCAGTTGTTCAAAATCACAAGTTAGAGTTCTGGTTGGCTCACCTTGATGTGAAAAGTGCCAACTTAGCATGTTCAGGATGACAGCACAAAGATTGTCTGTTCATACATTCTCCGACTCCATCCCCACCAAGGAGTGAGTCTTAGGAAACTGACTTTCACTCCTTGTATCATGTATTTGCTTTTGATTGTCACATCTCTATAGACACTAAATCAGAACATGATATACAATTCAGGAACCACATTATTTCATGACATTCATTTCTATAATTAATTTTTTTAGAAAATTTGGGAGTATAAACCAGTTATTCAAACTTAATTGGAGTATTTTATAAAATTTTTTTCAGTAAAGGTCTGCTTCAGTGGTTTGAAAAGCCAAGTTGAAAGCTCAATATATAAAGCAATACCTGACCACGAGGGAAGGGATGTTGGAGATGGGGTCCTAGAGCTCTGACCACCCCCTTCCTCTTTCACAGTGCTTGAGATGTTTCGGTAGCCCCTTTAGAAATCACCGCTCAAACCAAGATAATGATTCCAAGAGTTCTCAGTATTTACCAATATATTTCACATATTTTAATAAAAAGCTCTTTGGGAAAAAATATAAGGCATACGGGAGCCTTCAGTGGGGTGTATCAAAAGATGAGTCACTGGCTTCAGAACAGATCAATCAGAAGAAAATATTTCCTTTAAATAAAAACTCAGAAGAACAAAACTGGAACAAAATCTGATTAATTTTTTTCCTCCACCCTGGACATTCCATAGCTGACGGTATTTCGCAGCAGCCAACCCACGGACCGGCTGCGGCTCTCACCTGAAAGTGACCGCAAAGTTGATGGTGGGCCAGCCCAGGATAAAGGATTCCATGGCGCTGTCTTCTTCCACTTCATCCATGTAGCTTGCTACCCACATATCACTTAATCTTATTTGTTTTTTTATCTTAAGATTGTTGTTGTATCTAGAAAGATAAAAACCAGACAGGGACTTCTTGTAATTCGGCTTGTTAAATTTTATGACAACTTCAGCACTTGTGATAGGAGGACAGTTCTCACTAATCACGGGCAAAGAATGTCTTATTCACTACTGTTTTTATCTTCGGTGCCTACCACGGTAAATGGTAACATGGTTGGCTACCTTGGCCCAAAAAGGCCTTTGAGACGTTTGGTGTATTATGACAGCAAATAGTCATACACCTGTGACTTTATTCTTCTATATTGAGCATTGCATTTGGATCAAACCCCCTAATTTTAAACTTACTGCTGTTACAAAAAAATTAATTCATTTACTATTTACAACTTGCTTACTTCCAAAAATATTTTAGTGGTTGAACAAAAGAGTTAAAAAAACATTATTCAAAAAATATTTATAAAATTTTCACCCTTAAGAGCAATAGATACACTAAAAAATATAACCTGGAATTAATTACAGAAATTTATAATGCATTTCCAACTGGGCAGCTATAAGATTTTCTAGTCTTTAGAAGCAAAGATTATTTTAAATTTCCTTTCTTAAGATTTTGTCCATACCATTTCCCCATGTATTTTTACTAAAATTGAAAAATTGTAGCCTAAAAATAGACTCTAAATTAAACTAAAAAAAATACCAAGAAGTTGTTGATACAATTAATATTTATCCCTGGAGACCCAGAAGTTGATCTTCTTTAAGATGGCAATGAAATTGCTTTCGGACAATTTCTACCTAATCCTCCTTAGAACCTTGGTATTGAAACCATTCTATCTCTTGGCATAGTTCACAGATTTAATGCTCGTAATGAACCCGAGACTTAAATGGAAGGCACTGGGAAGGATAAAAAGAACATTCTGGAAACCTGGGTATTTCCTATCATTCAGAGCCATTTGTGGAAACACCAGAAGCTAAAGCGAAATCCCAGATACTTCACAGGAAAGTAACTCTAAAACTCCTCATGGAATATTTAAAAGCTAAAATTCTTCAGCAGGATTTATAAACTGAAAGGGGATTTGCAGGAACTATATACAAGAAGGACAGTCTAGATTCAAAGCCTCATCTATGCTTCCTGTAGGGCACACCACTTAAGTGTAACAGTAAAGTGCTTTGTGGCACAATGGCTTCATTCTACATGAGTGGACTCTCAGTTTCTTACAGCCCTCCTACTGGTTTTCAAAGGGACCTGTCTTGTTGGTATTGGCTAGGGTGCCCAATATATGGTTCAAACTGCTCACTCCCCAGGTAAGATCTGCAAGCCCATGAGATCCCCTTCTTCTTCTGTGTCCCCTCCAAGGGGTGGAGGCCCCAACCTGATTGCTTCTCCTCCCTTTCTACCTGACTCCTTGCAGATCTTTCTTCGCAGCCTTGATTGTAGAAAAAAGTCTTTCTGCCAGTCTCCAGCTTTTTAGTGAGAATTGCTCCACATGTAGCTGTACTTTTGACATGTTCCCGGGGGTAGATGAGCTCACCGTCCTCCTACTCCACTGTCTGGATCTCCTCCCCACCCATGTCTTATCTATGACACTGCGTAAATTAGGTGAGAGGATGTGAATAGTAGAAAAGAGTGTTTACTATTCTCTAGTGACTAACAATCTCTTTGATGAGACTGGATTTGTTAAACGACTCTTACCTTTTATGATGTTTCATAAACAATGAGAATAGGGGATGGAGCAAGTTGCAACCACTGTTTTCTAGGCTGGATGTTAACTGCATTGGCATTTAGTGTTGTGTGAAAAGTGAATTCTTTTGGTTACCTCTACAGGATATTCCAAATATTCGTTATCCTTCATGTAACTGCCATTTCCCCAGTTAAGGCCCTCACTATCTCTTATCAGGTCTAGGCCAATAACCTCCTGTCGAGTCTCCCTGCTTCTACTCTTGCCAACCCTCTGATCCATTATCTGTCATAGCCAGAACAATATTTTAAAACTATGAACTAATTAAAACCCTTTGGAATAAAATCCAAACTCCCATCATAGCCTTTGTGGTACCTGGGCCCCAAGATGGTCCCCAATGACACCTGTTTCCTGATATTCATACCCTTGTGTAGTTCCCTCCCAACTGCACCAAGGTGGTTTCTATGGCCAACAGCAGACACTGGAAATGATGGTATACAACTGCCAAAACAGGTTATAAGACTGCAGCTTCTGTTTTGGGTGTTCTTTCCCTTATGTACTCTCTTCCTCACCTTCTTGGATCTTTCACTTTGAGGAGACCGACCTGGACAAGACCTACAGCCCTGGACCAACAGCCGCTGAGGACCTGAGGCCTGCCAGCCCCCACGAGTGAGATGGGAAGGGGATTCTCTAGCTCCATTTAAGCTCTGACCTGACTGTAACCACAGTCAACAGTTTGACTGCAACCTCATGAGAGCCTTTGAGCCAGAACCACCAGCTAAGCCACTCTCAGATTCTTGACTCAGAGAAAATGTACAAAGACATTCATACTCATTAGCTGTTGTATTTTGGGATAATTTGTTATATGATAATAGGCAATTAAAGCAGCCCCCGAAGGTCCTGATAAGCTGATCCTTGCCTATTTCCCCTGCTTATCATGCTCCAGTGACAGGCTTCCTTTTAACTCTTCCAAAGGGCAAAGCTTTCCCCACCACCTTTGTACCTGCTGTCTCCTCTGCCCATCTTCCTAATATCTGAATGGCTGGTTGTTTTTATCCTTCATCGATTTTTTTCCCCTTGACTAAACCTACCTAACATATATCCCAGATTTCACTTCAACCAGCACCCTATTTTCTTCTCAACACTAAGTACAATTTGTAATGTCTGCCCCCACACATTAGAATGAAAGCATCAAGGGAGCAGAGACTGAGAGAGACTCTACTGATCCCAAGAAATCACTTCGGATACTGGGCAGCTGATTCCTCCTGCCATGCAGACCTGCAGAGCTGTGGACTAGGCCTCCAGTAATCGGGATACTGGCCAGTCGGCTCTCACTGCTCTGTGTTATCGCAGCAAATTGTGCTGGATCTGAACCCAGGCTACCACGCTGACACTACACACTCAGTCTAGAGTGCTGGGCGACTGGAAGTAGGCAGAGTGAATGTTTTACAAGCCAGTTGGACAGCATCTTGATTATGGAGTAACAATGACAGGTGTAATGTAAAATGGTTGGCCAATCAGGCTGAGTTCTACAACATCACGTGTTCGAAGCACAGTATTCATTTCCACCTCTGCACAACGACTCAGAGAAAGGAGTCCTTGTTTATGTGTAAGGATTCAGAGGCCCACAGTGTATAGAAGGAAAGGGAAGGGACATTCGGGCAATCGAGGCTTACCTCAGTGTCTTAGGAGAAAATGTCTGGAGTCCAAACTGTAACGCTTAGGATTCTAAAAAGTGTTTAAAAGAATAAACTGCTAAAAATAACAATGAAGACAATGTCTACACATAAAAATACAAAAGCAAGGATCATGTCCATCGCAGTCTTCTTTGCATCCCATATTTATAGAGAACATGACACAGACTGGGGTCTAAATGAACACCTGATGAATGAATAAATAATTGAAACACTGTTCAAAACCAAACCAAACCAAATGTAAAACTCACTTCAGATATTAGTTATGGTAACAGAGTCCAGACAGTCTCATAGTAAGCAAAGAACAGAAAGGTTGCCTTTGTCAGTGGAAATGCAATTTTATAACGATAACCAGGAGAGAGTGTATAGAGTATACTCACTTGACTTTGGCCACAACAAACAGGTCATTGAATAGAAAAAGATGCCGCTCCTGCCTCTGCAGGCCTCTTCTGAGTTCTACCTGTTCGTCAATTAGCAGGGTCCTACTGGTGCACATGGATGACAGAAATGCACATGTGTCTATGATAGCAGACCGGCTTTCCCTGCAGCAGATCAAACGCCACAGATCTTTGGTCAGGTGATCAAATATAGACTTTCTAAAAAATTTCTATAAAAATCACAGCTTTCTTCTAGTCTTTTTATGACCTATGTTTTCATTTTTCTTGGATAAACACCTCATGGCAAAATTGTTGGGTCACAAAGTAGGTGTATGTTTAATCTTATAAAAAACTACCAGATAATTTTCTAAAGTGGTTGTATCAATTTACATATTCAACAAGACTGCTGGAGAATTTTAGTTGCTTCACAACCTTGCAAACTTCTTTTTGCTGTGGTTAGCATAGACCAAAGGTTAATTAAGTTATTTGAAAAATGTTCTGCATTTAAAAGCAATCCCAAAGGATTTTAACACATAATAACTCATTTCCCATCTTACAATAATAGTTTTAAATAAGTAGATCTGATGGCAGTGTTGGGGGAGAATCCACAATGAAGTTAAAATCTTTTTTTCCAGTGTGGATTTATCAATGTACATGTTTTACAGTCTGTCATTTTTAAAGATCTACATATAATAAGCATGGCAAGAGATGCCTCATGATTTTGGCAATCTAAGTATTGATTAAAAAAAAAAACTCCAACACTTAGCACTCCACAGAAAAAACAGACATCTCAGCTCTCACATAATTTAAAAAGAAAAACATCTTTTACAAAAGGAAACAAAAACACAAATAATCTTTGTAATTTTTAAAATGACAATCTTTCTTTTTACTTTTTTATTGATTTATAACCATTTTACAATGTTGAGTCAAATTCCAGTGTTCAGCATAATTTTTCAGTCATACATGGACATATACACACTCATTTAAAATGACCATCTTAATCAGCGTTTCCTAATTAAAAATGTATTTCTCAATTTTATGTGACTCTTAAGTGTTTATTTTTATTGAGTGCAATGCAGATATATGTGTTTTATTTTACTCTCTTGGATATGGAAACAGGGAGAAGGGTAAGAGTACAACCTTCTATTTAGCCTCTCAATACAGCCTGATTACGATTTACAACTTATAATTAAGAGCGCTCTAAAACAAGCTAACAAGTACAAGGGGAGTCTAAGGGTCAGCCGGCTGCCTGCTTCTTATGTATTAACATTCCATCTTCAAATGCATTTGTGAAGCCATTTCTGAAAGGCAAAAAGCTGTTTTAGGACCTTAATCATTTTTCACTAAAACTAGATGACAGCTTTCATGAAGCTGGGCCACACTAGTGTCTCGATATTTATCCCTGAAGCTCACTGTAACAGTGAGTCTATTTTCAGGTACAGTTTTAAGAGGCAGTGTTGCTTCATCTTAAATCACAAAAGAAAATAAACTAAAATTCAGAATGCTTCTTGGAAATACCTGTGTTTATTAAGGGGGACTCAACTAACGGCTACTGATGGCTGGGTAGTACCAGTCCCCAGTGCTAGGTAGGGTCCTGATAGCCTCAAAGCCTAACACGCGGTCCCTGCTCATTCCAAATGCCATCTCTTTCACGAAAAATTTCTCTCAGTTGAATTCTTGATCGGCATCTCTTACATACCTAACACTTACATCCTACCTTGACCCTCTTAAAAGTATTCTCATTTAAAATACACCGGGTATATGATCACCATATAATAAGTTAGTTGTTTGTAATAGTGATCAGGGTTGCCTTTGCTGGGTGGCTGCCATGTGCCAGGCACTGGAGATAGATGTGGTTTCTAGCCTCAGGGAGGTAGCAACGTGACAAGGGAATCAGACCAGTAAACGTCATGATACACCAGTGAGGTAAGTGACATAAAAGAAATGCAGGGCACTGAGGGCACAGAGAAAAGCCAAAATAGGAGGCCCTCTCTGAGACTGAATTGGTTAGGAAAGTTTTTTGGAGGAACCAAAGTCTTAAATGATGGAAGGACAACGAAGGCTGAAGGGCATTCTATGGAAAAAGAAGAGCGTGTCAAAGACAGGAGGGTGTGCATCAGTAACCCTGGGAAGTTCACAGATGCTGGAGTGACAAAGGTCTGAAGAGGAGGAGCAGCAGACGAGGAAGGGGCTGTGTATTACAGGTGTTTTCCCCACCACCTTCAGACTCCATTTGAAAGCACTGCAGGATTTTAAGCAGGACACTGTGGTTTACAATATGTTGAAGAGAATAAATGAGGTCAAGCTTAGAGGAAGGGAGACCTTTAGGAATTTGTTGCAGTAATCTCAGGAAAGAAATGTCATGGACCTGAGTTGGCAGTGAGTGAAGGATAGAGGATATAGGGAAAAAAACATATTCAAGAGATATTAAAAATACAGATTCTTAAAATTTGCAAACTGACTAGTTGGGGGTGGGGTAAATGGAGATCGACTTGGCTGAGAAAAGGAATACAATAGACTTACTGCCTAGTCTTTATTTATTTACTTATTTTTAATTTATTTTTCATCCAACAAATGCCTTCTGAGCATCTGTGTGTGTTGGCTAGGCACCATGCTGAATGGTGAACACATGGGGTAAACAAGTTAGACTTACCCTCTACTGTTACACAACTGCTGAGTCTGATTCTGCCATAAAGCATCTACTTGACATCACGTCATTGTTGCTCAGCTCCCTCTGTAACAGAGGCTGGGAACCACAGCCCACAGTCATGTTTTATTTGGCCTGCATTCTGATTGCCTGGTTCACCACATTCCCTCACTTGCAACTTCTTTACTCTGCATTCTACACCTCCCAGGGACCTGAAAGCATTTAAGTCCACGATTCTTGCTCTAGCATCTCTTAAAAAAAAAAAAACTAGCTTAATTTTAAGTTTTTTTTTAAATTATGGCAAAACATACATAAAATAAAATTTATCATTTTAACTATTTTAAAATTCAGTGGCACTCAGTATGTTCACAATGTTGTGCAACTATCACCGCTACCTAGAGTTCCTGAATATTTTCATCATCCCCAAAGGAAAACCTGGACCTATTAAACAATTACTCCCCACTCTACCCAGTCCCTGGCAACTACTAACCTCGTTCTGTCTCTATGAATTTGCCTACTCCGGATATTTCAGCCCATATAATCTGTGTCCTCTTATGCCTGGTTTCTTTCATTTAGCATAATGCTTTCAGGGTTCATCCATATTGTAGCATGAATCAGTACTTCATTCCTTTTTATTGATGAACAATATTCCATTGCATGGATATCCATTCATTAGGTGATGGACATTTGGGCTGTTTCATGGCTATTGTGAATAGTGCTGCTATAAAAAAAAATGTGTGCACACTTGTTTGAACACCTGCTTTTATCTTCTGAGTAGACCCAGGAGTGGAACTGCTGTGTAATATGGTAGTTCTATGTTTAAGTTACCGAGGAACCACGAAACTGCTTTTCACAGTGGTTGTAACCATTGTACAGTCCCACGAGCAATGAATGAGGGTCCTTCTGCTACTTTTTATTCTTCTCTCTTTTGTTCCCCATATGTAATCACATTCTATGTTTAAGGACATTCTAATTAAAAAATAAAACCTCCTGAGTTTAGATTTGTAATAAACTCCTAACTGGACTCTCTACTTCCTTGCTCTTACTTTTTCAATCCATACTATTCACTTCTTGCTTCTATCATATTAGCCTTCTTGATGTATACTGTCAATGCACAGCATGTACACAGAACCAAAAAGTTGTTTATTTTACTGTACTAAAACTCACTTATTGTAGGTAAAACAGAAATAACATACAAAGAAGATGCTGTAATTTCAGACAGGGCTAACAATATTATTTCAAGTGCTTCAAGCGAGCCTACATTGGGAATTCTAATCTTGATATTAATTCCTGAAAGCATTAAAATCCAATACACTTTCCAATTTCAAACAAAAGTGAGTCTAATCCTTAAAATAAAAGCTTTCTATGGGACATATACAATATATACTGTCAACAAATGTTGAGTTGAAAGATTTTTAAGTTGCTAAGAGAAGCAATTTTTATATTTACTACTGTATGAGAAACTCCAGTTATGGATCCTTTTCACCTGGGGCTGTCACCACTTGTGCAAATATCTGAGTGAAATATGATATGACATAGCACTTAAAAGGCCTGGCATTTTAAACAACTCTTTTTACCCTGTAAAACATCGGCATCTGTCACCAAAGCAAGATGCAAAACCAAACACACACACACAAAAATCCTTTAAATTGACCAGGACCATTGATTGCCATCTAGACGTATTGAAAATAGTGTAACTTGGTGTAAAAAATGATACGATATAAGGTCAAAGTGGTAAGTACCATAGAAAAGAGGTACAACTCAAAGATGAGGGGAATTTAGGAGTCAGAAAGCATCCTTTGAGACAATTAGGTGGTGAACAGGGATGAAGCGGGAAGGCATGGAGGAAGACAGGAGATCAGAAAAAGCTTCACAGAGGAGTCGGCATTGGATTGAGTCTCTCAAGAGAGTTAGGTTTTGGACAAAAGTAAAACTTTAGCACAAAAAGATTGAGTGATTTGTCAAAGTCACCAAACTGCTTATTGCAAAGTCAGGCCTGGAGCAATGGCTGATGGCTGAAAGCAAGTAGGCTTTGGATTATGCATTCAATTTGGGGCAGAAGCAGCAGTTTTGGCAGTCCTTTTCACCTAGTTTTTCCTCACAGTAAATGATCTTTGTCTATTTTCCATTTTTTCTGGTTGAAATTGGTCACAATACAAACACTGTTTGCTACAAAGACTCGGAGAACAGGAATATGTTCACTGTATGTCTAAATTACCTACATTGCTTAGTAATCTTTCTATTCTCTAAACAGAAACTATACAAATTTTTTTTAAGTCTGTATTTTGATATATTAGCAGTATCTGACTCACGTGTTACTTGTGGACTAAATGTACTGTAAACGTGCTACATAGCACTTAATTGCATATTCTCTTTCATGTTCTTTATGTGTCTTGTATCTGTGAGCCTTGCTTCCCCAACTGAATGGAGCTCCCAGTGAGTACTTTACACTGTGCAGTAAGGTAGAGTCCATGTCTTATTTCTGATCCTCTGTTTCTAGAACTGTGCCTGGTACAGA